GAATTTTTAAAGTGCTATAAGTTTTAAAGTAAGGCTAAGTGAGGCTAATTGTAAGATGACCCGCAAATAGTACGTGACACTGCCACTAGGACACGACGGTTTGCAATTTTCTTCTTCAAGATCGATACAAGAATGAAAAAAGATATAGCATTATGAGATTTTTCATTCGCGTTCTCATGAAATAATTTTTTGACGGTGAGCTTTCTTATAAATGAAGGGGCCTTACTTTCAAATTTAAGCAAATTCATGATTTTACAATTATTATTTTAAAGAAAATCTGTAAAATTGTTGATATTTATTCTTCACAATTTTTAAATTTCTTTAGTTTCTTTTAGTTTTTTAAATAAATTTTACATAAATTTTAAATAAGTTTTAAGATTACATTAAACAAATGTTTAAAGTGTCCTTTCTTGTTTTCTCTTTAGTTTTTTCTAAACTAAGTTTTAAGTTTTAAAAGTTTTTTAAAGTAAATTTTTGCAAGAATTAACTGTAAATATTTCACATGGATTAAGCGTGATTTTCATGCGTCATAAACATTTATATATTTTGCGCTATAATTTTTATCGAAATCATCGTTCGATTTCATGAACATCTTGACAAATCAAATTATCAAATGTTACGAAACAAAAACTTAAGTTAAAACGAAACAAAAAATAGTTTGCTGAAAAATATTTTCTTACGGATTCAACTGTTATATAAAGGAAAGAAATGTGCGATGCGTACAACTGCATGTATCATGCAGGTGATAAAGTGAAAACGTTGTTGATGTATTATCTCGCGGTATTATCTCGACATCGTAATTTATTGTCGTAATTTACAATATTGCAAAACTTGCGAAAGTCATATTTGGTTAGCATTGAGATGAATCAATTTGAGATGAATTGCATTTGCGAATAATTTTCTGTTACAATGATAGTCCAAGTACAATTACATAATATTTAAAACAACAGCAGAAACATTACTTTTCTTCACTTCTTACTTTCACGTATTTTCCTCACTTTGTGCTCGGTATGTTGCAATGTTACATAAAATCAATTTTCGTTATCACATCTGATGTCGATGCTATTTTTCACAACGACCTTGACGCACAATTTTCACGAAAGTTATTTGTTACAATTTCAATGTATTTTTCTGTATTGTTAAAAGAGAACATATACGTAATAAACGTTGGTTCTATTACTTATAAGATTGTAGACTTGATTATTTATTAATGATTCAAGAATGCACAATTGAAAAGTACAGGAACACAATTTTCAAACAGTTTTCAATCTTTATCAAAAATTGTGTATGCCAGAATATATGACTTCTAATAAGGTGAAATGTTATTCCCTCGTTCTTTTGTCTCTGCGGCAACAATTTCACGTGTGAAAGTTGATTGCTCTATTAATTTTACATAAACGATTTTCCTAGACTAACGTGTTTCCTGTAACACTTTCTCAGCATCTTTCGCATGATTTATTATCACTATCTGAAACACCCTTAATGTCTTAATGTCTCGTACAGTCTCCGCCCAATACTTTTTGGAAACTAATTAGGTGTGATACTATCCTAATGAAAATTTTTCTCATAATTTTTATTTGAAACATTTTTCAGAAATATACGGAAAATCTACATCTTCTCTCAGAATTTTTCATACAAGTGAATTCTGAAATATTCTGAAATTTCTCATCCCATAATTTAAAAAAAATATGTTTTAATATTTTTTAGATTTTATAACATTTCATCAGAAATTATACTTAAAAAAAAAATCTTAGAAATCTTATGATATTTCATAATTAACATATATGAAAAATTTTGAGAAAAGATGTAGATTTTCTGAAGAATGTTCCGATTTGTAAAAAATGTGAGAAAATTATAAAATTATATAGAAATTATATAGAAAAATTATATAGAAAAAATTATATAGAAAAATTATATGAAAAATTCTGAGAAAAATTTTCACCAGAGTAATTATTACGTTTCTATATACATTGCTATCATTGCTTCTTTGATAATATTATAATGCACGCGATGACGATTTCCACTACCGTTTTTACTTCGTATTAAATCTACGTTTCACTCGTTATTCCACTAGAAAATAATAAAAAATGTAGAACTATACTTTTCAACAAATGCGATCTTCGACTGGAGTCACCCGTACAATTAAATGAGCTTAAAATTTTTTACAAAAAGTTCGTACGATTTCATAAAGGTACGTACAAGTAAAACGTTTGTACATAGAAATGCACCCAGTCACTAGACTTGCAGTTCTTTCTATCTATTATCACGTTGGATTCTTATCACAAGATGTCATGTATTGTATTTTTGACGATAACATAACGTTTGCTTAACATAAAACATGAACTTGATTTATTCTACGGTACGGTTATTTATACTACATACGCTCGATAAGAATTTTTAAAAGATAGGATATGCCAATGAAAGAGACCTATGTTTAACAACTAGGGTATCTATAACATTCTTTTTTTTAATATGTTTAAGTATTTTCACTTCTACTAACACATTTTGTAGCCATTATTTTATTACAATTAATTTATTTATTCTTAATAAAGATATGTGCATTTGGTTAATTGTAAAATTTATATTCGCGTTACTAACTCCGTATATAAATATTCCGTAAACTTGATAAACTTATAATTAGACTAACAACACACGTCCGAAATACTTTCTTAAAGATATTACAAAAAGAGAATACATGCATCTCTCTCTCTCTCTCTCCCTCTCCCACCCCCTCGCTGTGTGAATTACTTTACATGCGCATCGATATATGCAACATGTACAAGTATTCGGCGCGAAATATGACGCACGTGCGACTCTCGTTAGCGACATAGTCGAACGAACCGCCAAGCGAGAGCGGAGAGGGTGAGAGATACTGGAGTGGCTAAGGAGTGGCGGGCTAAATATAATCCGTAGATCAGAAAACACGCATACGAAGTGCGTAATCCCCCGCCTAGAAACACGTTTGGTCGCCTTAAAACTATTTCACTGCTTGCTACCATTCGTTTTGGGGTTACGCCGGTGCACATGCCAGTTTCCTTCTCTCTTTTTCTCCCTTCCTCCCTCTTCCCCGCCCCTCTACCTCGCTCTTCTACCTCGTACGGACTTTGCGCGTTTCCGCACTCGTTCCCGCAAGCGGGACAAGCGATCCGCGACTGTTGCAGTGACTTCGGTGCAACGCTCGTGTACGTATGCACGTTTTGCGTGTACAGTGCACAGAATGACCGACACGCGCCTCCGATTACGCGCACCTGCTTTTTGTGTCCATCTTCAAACGCATCAACAATGGGTTTGATTTCGACAGTGTAGTTATCACGTAAATTCGAACGATTCTGTGATTTGTCGCAACGATTCAGAGGCGCTTGAAATTAGTAGGAATATTTTTATGTATGTATATACTAAAAAGAGATCGGTAAGAAAATAAAACTTTGATTAATTCTCTTTCATAATGTTTGAAGTTTTAAAGTGCAATATTGATCTGCGCATTACGCGTGTGTTATTTACTGAAGAAAGCCGTATCATGTAGCAAAACATTTCATTGTGTTTCTAGTGCAGCATTATCGTGTTTCTTAAATATTGAATTTTTACGCGAAGACGATCGACAATATTGAATCACAGGTGTTGAAAATTTATTTCTACGAGAATCCTTGACATTTCTTGAAACATCTCGTTCACGAAGGCGAAACTGATCAAAATTGAGATATCAATCGGTCTAAGACGAATATAACGAATAGAGAAAGGTAATTCAAAGATTGAATTGATTGAATTTCGTTCGTATCGGACATTTTATTTATCTAGTCTAATATTACGTCATGTCTCTACACCAAACCCTGTGTGATATCGCACCTTGTATCTCTCTTTTCTATCCTTATTGTGTAACAAGTGCATTTGTCGTTATAAGTATATCTTGTTTTCAATGCTGTCAAATATTATTATAAGACAGTTAAAATTATATGGCACTTCAAAAATAGAAATATAAAATACAAATAAATTAAAAAATTAAAATATAACAACTTCACGAGGAACCATCTTTGGTTTGGTAAAGTTTCTATTTTCGATAACCGTGTTGCTTACTCGAGCAACAGTGGAAATGCCGGCATGGCCTCAATTTTTACAATTTTGTAGAGCGTAATGTAAAGCGATCGTATCGTGCAAGAGTTTTCGTGTCAAAGGAATATTAAAGTATAAATCTTTTCTATCTTACATAAAAGGTTTAGGTATCGGAAATATTTTGTAAGATATCAGGGAATGTAAGGAACTAAAAAGAAGAACGAAAAAAAAAATATCGTTCACCAAATGTTACTTTCTGATTGCTATCTTCTTTTCAGAACGAAACGTGTAAATCAAAATTGCGGAAAAGCTAAGTGCGGCTAAACAAATTTAGCGCCGCGAAAATTAAGACTAACACAGAATGATCTTTTCAGATCTCTTTAAACGATCGCTTTGTCCGGTGTATAATAATATCGCGCGTGTCAGTAGAAGGTAGGGAGATGGAAGGAGGATCGGAATCTTAGCTAATTCGAGATTGGACGGACGATTCTTGGGGGATAAAACGAACCGTACATCTAATGCGATGAGTGAAGAGCAGAAGCTCACAAATACGATACGACGCGACGCGACTATTGTGCGACAAGCGGTTTGCATATACACGTGCTATAATATGAACATAATTGTTCACCGCGGTTGTATAACGTTGCTTCCAAGCGGCCTCCAACAGTCATTGCCGGAGCGTCACGTCGTCTTGCAAAAAATTACGCGTATTCCACTGTTGTTTAACATTATTCCAAGATATCGATCAAAAACTCGTGGATCTGTAAATATGCGACAATCACGTGAAAATCATTCGCTATTGTTATCGACAACGAGTGCACTTAAAAAAATTACTTTCGGAAATCGAATTGTTGGCTCCTCGAGCGAAGACTCGTAATTATCATTTATCACGATTAATTGTTACACTGACAACAAATAAAATAAAATTGTTAAATAGTTAAATAATAGAACTATTAAAACAGAATAGATATGTATTTAATCGAAACTCAATTTATCAAGATAAAATTCGCACTTGTGCTTTAAACGTACATGCGCGCATTTTGTACAACTTTGTTTCTTTAGAGACGATGACGTTGCATTGTTCTATCTATATACATCCATCTACGATGTCGTCGAACGCGCGGACGTGAATTCTCGTGCTGCCATAAGTCATGCCGTAGCTCATGGTGCTCATGATTGTGAATCGCGTCGCGTCGCCGCGTCGTTGCTTTTTGCTCCGCTATGCGAAATTAACCGATCTTCAGGTTCGATCCGGCCATTTCGTTCGCAGCCCTCGCAGCTATCCAGTGCGCGACGTGATGCCGCGCTGCGTTGTGCCGATTGATGCGCGCGTGATGTGCAAGGAGAGCGTGAAACAACAAGAAGAAAAACAACGGCGAAATAACTATATTCGAAGAAAATTGAAACGCTACAATTTGATATCGTTCACGAACCCGTTTACACTTGCCCGTCATTCGGCTCTCTGTAATTACGTAACGCGTAGATAATACTGGCTGACGACGACGCGGCAGCGGCGTGGAGCGTCGTTCGTTCGTTTAGATTCGTCAAAGCTCGCGCCCGCGTGAT